GTCTTTCAGTTATCTGTAAGCTTCTTTACAGGCTGTTTTTGGGAGTGACTCCTAGAAGCTTTTATTATTTGAGTTGTTGCTTCTTTCCCCAACTACTTTATTATTTTGGATACAAAGGTGCCCAGTTTTAAAAATCATGCCTCACAGCCCCCATCCCCACCCCCACCCCCGGCCTGGCACTGTTTCTGGGCAAGTCTCAGAAGCATCCTACTTTCTGCGGTAGAATTCGGCATCAACTATGGCTCCTTGTTTTTAGGCTGTGCGAGGAATGCCAGCCAATGCCCTGAGGCTGGGCCTGAGCTTCCTGGAGCTGACATCAGGAGTTAATTGCCACCCTGTCTACTCCTGTGCCTTGAGCACTTAGCACTCTGCCACTCCTCGACTGTGTGTGAGGAGAGGAAGGCACTTCTCTGTTCCGAAGCTGCCCCTTATTACCACTTGGGAAGTGGGCAAGGAAGGTCCTTTTTGTTGCCCTAATACAATCCCACTGGGGCTGGACACCCCTGTGATTTTCTTGTGCAGCTTTAGGAAACTCCTTACTGGCCTATATTCCATGAACTTAGTGACCAGACTCATCTGAGGCATCTGAAGAACTTTTCAGAAGAACTAACTGTGGAGGGTTTATGTCATAGTCCGTAAACATATGTCTCCCTGGGCTCTGGTTCCCCCACTCAGGAGATTCACAGGGCCAGAAAGTGACAAAGAAAGACAGGTGGGACATGAGCAGGGATGGAGGGCCACAGGGTGTAGATGGGTGTGTTCTCAATGAAATTATGTTTCCCTTCATGTGAGTCCTGGAGGCTTGGGAACCTTTGTGACAGAGCCAGTGTGGTGTTGGGCACCTCATAGGGAGCGCATTCCTTGTGCAGTGCACACCCTCTTGAGGGTGAGGGGGCTTCCTCTCAGTAGCAAGGAGAAGGTGGGAAGGTGGATGGGATCATGTTTCTGTCTTACTTAAGCACCAGAGCTGTATTTTGACTTGTTGAACATGGAAATACAGTATTAGGTATTTAGAATGATACTTTTCCAAATACCTTTCTTGGCTTTTGAAGACTGATTTTCATTGAACTGATAGTTGGCTGTAGACACATACCTAGTCTAGTGCAGTCTCTTGTAGTCTTTCCTAACTTGTGCCTTAAGAGAATTAAAAAGTCTGACATCTCTCTCAGAAATTCTGCTTTCATTGGGAGGCACTAGGTTCTTGCCAGGTTACAAATGGTCAGCTCTCAGCAGGATTAGGCGATTAGCACGGTGGCCGAGTGTGTGTGCATTTTAGGGTCCTCCTTGTCTGTGATGGGTAAGACGGGTTGAGACCTTCTATTTAGGCAAGAAGGTTGGTGGTGAGTCATAAAAGCTGCCTGCCCCTTTCCACACTGTTCAGGCCTGTACCAGCAAATTGGTGGAGGGGAGAGGCACTGCGGTCATGGCGTCATGCTGGAATTCGGGTGCACACTTGCACATGTGTGCCTGTCATTCCAGGATTCTTTTGCCATCATTCATTAGTTGAGTCCACAGCTGCCTCTCCAGAAGGATGGTAGTCTAATTATAACTGCTTGTGAATCCATAAAGAATCGGTGGAGTTTGTCCTGCGACAGCAGATGCAAATGTGCAGGCTTCTCTATCCCTTCTGCTCTGCTTGTAAGAAGTGTGAACCAAAAGCAGGGCCCTTTGACTCCCTCTGAGGTGGTGACATTCTTCTACGAGGCCTGGTGACAGGCTTTTGGGATTAGCTGCCTCTCCCACCTCCTCCAGGCACTGGGGTGTGAGGGGGCCACTTCCACTCTCTCCATTCTCTCCTCTCTCCACTGCTGTGGAGACAGACCTTCTTCTGATGACATGGTCTGTGCTCCCTCCATCTTGTCCTGTCTGTAGCACCAGCTAGAAAACTGTTTCTTAAATATTCACTTCTAAATTGTGGTAACAGGAAAGTATTAAGGTTCTTCTTTCTGCTGCCAGTACTTGACTCTTAGAGATCTCACTTCTCCGTATTACTCCAAGAATAGGCATCAGCTGTTGCAGAAGGGTGGCACTCAATCTGGTTATATGGATAGGCCTTTAGTTTTGGAGGGGGTTTTTGTTCAGTTAATATTTCAGAAATAATGTGTCCATTTTAGAGAATTTAGAAAATACAAAGAAACAAAAACAGGAAGATAAGGGGGTGTTTCATAGCTGTATTTTTTCTATTACATATATTCTCAAGTTGTTTTTGTTTCCAAAACATACAGTATATACCAGCATACCACCAAGGGCAATCTTTCTAAGCTGTATCAAGTGTACTTGTTGTAACCTTCGGGTTTTTCTGTTTGTTTTGTTTTTTGGGTTTTCTGGTGGCTGGCAGGTACACCTTTGTGTTTTTGTCTGTTCTTATGGCTGACTAGTATGAGGATCTGAACCCTTGACCTTGGTATACTTTGTTTTTAATGGCAATATAATGGTGCATTGTTTGGTTCTATCATGACTTATGTAATCAGTATGTATTATCCAATATCTAATTATGGAATATTGAGTAGAATAATTTTATCTATTATGTATAATGCTGTAATGTCTATCCTTTGTGGCTTAATTTTTGCATACAGTTATGACATTTTTCTTACGCAAAATTCTTACAATGCAAATATTTAAGGCTTCTGATATGTATACAGATATGTCATCCTGTGGAAAGACTGTCCAAACCAGTACTCCCACCCACCAGGTCTGGAAGTTTCGATTTTATCACTGTCTAAGCTGGAGAATTTAAGATTACTAACCATTGATATTTACATTCGTGAATTTCTTCTTTGATACTTCTTTTGGTGTGTTCATCTTTTTTCTAGTTTTTATGTTGAAAATTTACCTATACATTCTTTGGCCCTGATTCTGCCACAATGAATAAAGCAAAGCATAGGCTAAACAAGTATTAATGTCAGCCTACCAGATACAGAATTGCAACCGTTTCTCTTTTCCCACTTGTGGTAAATAACAGTAAACTTTTATTGACAGGCATAGAAATGCAAAGTTGCTTATACAAGTGGTTCTTACTTTTTTCCCAAGCCATGGTCTAAAGACAGTAACTTTTCAAGGGCACATCACCTCATGCTTACTTTTCAATATAACTACAATATGATGCACAGATAGGCTGCTATTTATGATGATCCCTTCTAATAATTATCACTGTCATCATATGTTACCATTTATTGGGAGCTTGTTTTGTGGTAAGCATTGTATCAAAAACTGCAAGTGCATTTCCTTATTTTTTTTTTTTTTTTTTTTTTTTTTACCTTATTTGCAACATCTGTTGCAGTTTTTGTGTGTGGCATTTTTCCAGTTTGGAGGGGCTTTGCAGTCCCTGATCTAGGGAGATGTTGCTGTGTTCCCCACTCGCATCCGTTGCTGCCTCCTCCAAAACTTCAGAAGTAGATGTTCCTGCTGAAAGCCTGAAGCCCCTCATGAAGCACAAGTAGGTCCCCTGCAGATGTCCATCAGCAGGAGAATGGATAAAGAAATTGTGGTAAACCTGGGAACACAGCTGAGCAGTAAGAAGAAGCAACCTACTTCTACACACACAGATGTGGCGCTTTTTGCTGAGCCAAGAGGAGATGGGCGGAATAGGCAGATCTGTGGAGACAGAAAGTAGATTACTGGTTGCCCCAGGCTGGCAGGGTTGAGGGGGAATGAGGAGGGACTACTGATGGGTACAGAGTTTCTTTGTGGAGGAATGAAAAGTCCTAAGATTGATTGTGGTGATGGTTGCACAACGCTATGAACAGACTAAAATCATTGAATTGTATACTTTAAATGGGTGAATATTATGTCATGTGAATTATATATATCCATAAAGCTGTTTAAAAAAAGAAGATGGATACAAGGTATACATGCTGCACTGTATATGGTTCCATTTATATCGAGTTCTAGAACAGGCAAAAGTAATCTAAGATAGTAGAAGTAAAAGAGTGGCTGGGGTGGGGTAGATTGACTGGAAAGGGTGATGGAAATGCTTTTCATTTTTTGTTTTGTTTTGGCGGCTGGCCAGTATGGGGATCCAAACCCTTGGCCATGGTGTTATAACACTGCACTCTAACCATATGAACTAACTGGCAGGCCCATGTTCTATATTTTTTGAGTGGTGCTTACTTAGGTATATGTAATTCTCAAAACCCGTCAAACTGTGAGAAATGGGCCGACCCCGTGGCTCACTCGGGAGAGTGCGGCGCTGGGAGCGCAGTGGCGCTCCTGCCGTGGGTTCGGATCCTATATAGGGATGGCCGGTGCGCTCACTGGCTGAGCACGGTGCGGACGACACCAAGCCAAGGGTTGCGATCCCCTTACCGGTCACCAAAAAAAAAAAAAAAAAAAGATGCATTCTAATTGAAAGAAAACAAAAACAAATAGGCCTGATCCCTTCCTTCTTCCTTTTTTTTTCTTTTTGCTATGATTTGGAAATTCCTTTTTCTTTTCTTTTCTTTTTTTTTTTTTTCCTTTCTTTTTCTCTTTTAATGGTTCTACAGTCATTTCTCTGCTGGGTAGTATGCCTTTAACTCCCTGTCCATTGCCAAAGATCCCAACCAGCCACCTCAGAGTAGCAGCTACTGCCATACCCATGGCCAGCTCACGTTGGAAAACCACCGAAAGCAGAGGTTTGATCATTAGTGGCTTTAGAGAACTGAAAACGTAGTTCTTCCCCCCACAAACTGACTAGGAATCTGTTGTACTGGGTACTTACGTGTGTGATAATCTTAGTCATTGTGAGACAGTGGGGTTTACCATTTCCCGCTTCCAAGAGGAAGTGCCTTTAGCATTTGAAACTTCTTGACATTCTGTGAAGGTATTTTTGGAGGGAAGGGGACATTTTGGGAAGTCGCAGATTACCTAAGGCAAATAACCCTTGCATTTATGGTGTGTGGGAAATACGTAGGCAGAAAAGTAAGACTCAGCGGTGGAGGTCAGACATACTGCCTAGCTTCTGGTGAGAGCTCAGCAGTGAATGAACATTGCTCATCGCCTTTCTCTTGTGTGGGGTGCAGGAGCTGGTCAGACTTACCATTGAGAGGCAGGGGCGTCCGTCTCCAACAAGCCCAGTGAAGCCCAGTTCCCCAGCTGGCAAACCTGATGGGTGAGTGCTTTCTAAACCCTCCCACCACAGTGTTCACATTGGGCAGCAAGGTCTGCACTTGCCAGAGGATGGGAGCCAGTTGGGCAGTGGGCAGCATGTTAGGTAGGCTGTTGGAGGCCCATCTTCCTTTTTCAATGGGAAGTTCTGGGTGACTGCGTGTTACGTGAAAGTGTGTATGTTTCACAAAGTTTTGAAGCATTGCCTTGTCTCATGTTTAATATTCAACCTGACTGTTTCTAAGGATGAACGTGTGAGTGTGTCCAGTGACACACACTAGTGCTTGTCCTGGCCAACTTCATTTCAATAATTAGAAAGAACTTTTACAGGTTTGGATTTGGGGGATTTAACTTGAGAGCACTTTTGGTTTTTTAGTAGTAGCTTTATCAAGAGAGTAAACTAAGGGCAACATGGACTGTTTTAATGCCTTGCCTCAATTTCTACTACAAGCCCCGGGTAAAAATAGAAAATGAAGGTTTGGAGCATTTTAGAGAGACTTTAGGTCATCTGGTCTACGGATTCCATTTTCATGGGAGGAGACTGTGATGCAGAGTTGGGGGATGTGGCCAAGCCCCAGCAGTTTGTTAGTGATCAAATTGGACTTGACCCCACTTCCAACTTGGAGCCCAGGCTCAGTGCCCAGAGCCCCCACCCCTACACCGCTGCCATCACATTCTAGCCTTCCCCGGGCCTGTGTGTGTTTTGCTCCCATCAATGACCTTCTCTGACCCCAAGTTCCTTCCAATTCTCCAGCCAGGCTGAGCTCCCCCTGACAGACCGAGAGGTGGAGATTCTAAACAAGACGGCTGGGATGTCGCAGTCAACCGAGCTGCTCCCAGACTCCACGGATGCGGAGATTGCACCTCCCAAGCCCCCTTTACCTGGCATTCGAGTGGTTGATAATAGGTAATTATCTTCCTATTTTCCTAGCTTCCCCCTCTATTTATGACATAATGGGTAGAAGGAGCAAAAGAGGAAGGTGTCGCAGACTGGGTAAGAGCTCAGCGTTCAGCCCCTTCCTCAGGATGATGCCCGCACCTGCCCGGGCCTCCCTCCCCACACCTGAGCTCTCCTCTGACCTGCCCGTCGGCCTCCATCACATGAGACCTGGTGTGATTTATTTTGAAAGGGAAAGGCAGGGTTGTTCTGATTTTCATTCTTTTGGCATTCATAGGATTTATTTTGGCAGGAGGGGACTGGGCAGGAGTTGAACTAAGAAAATTGGCTGTGGAGAGCTAGTAGTGAAAAACCCCCACAGCCTGTACCCTCATGCCATCCTAAAGAGCTTTGGTTTGCATCGTTTGGTTTGCCTGGATGTTTTGGTCTGTTTCAGTCCTCCACCAGCGTTGCCACCCAAGAAAAGGCAGTCAGCTCCGTCTCCTACCCGAGTGGCTGTGGTGGCCCCCATGAGTCGAGCCACCAGCGGCTCCAGCCTACCTGTCGGGATTAATAGGCAGGTAACGCAGCCCCCGTGCCTTCTGGGAAGGCAGACAGGGGTGTGGCTCCTGTAGCTGAAAGAAGTTTCCTGGCCTTCAGGCCCTGGTGTTGGTCAGGTCCAGAGACGCTCTCTTGCGGGGTCGGCGTCTTCTCAGTCGTCCTTCTCTCTCCAAGACATGGGGGAAGTTCCCGTAATGGAGGTCCAGGGCGGGGAGGTTGGAGCCCGGCCCATGGCCCTCCCTGGCCACACACTCAGGGCAGTCCTCAGGACTTCTTTCTCATCCATGCATGTCATTTTATTCTGACGTCAAAGATGGTTTCTGAACCTGGTGGTATTTCCTTCTCTAAGTAGATGTGCCGATTGCCTCATCCCTGGTCTCTGCCACCATTTCTCAGAAGTGACTTGGGTTTGTTTTTATGTTTCCACATGAGGATTTTGACGTTGACTGTTACACACAGAGGCGACTGTCAGGAGGCAGCCACTCGTATGGCGGAGAGTCGCCCCGCCTGTCCCCCTGCAGCAGCATAGGCAAGCTCAGCAAGTCAGACGAGCAGCTGTCCTCTCTGGACAGGGACAGCGGACAGTGCTCCCGGAACACAAGCTGTGAAACTCTAGGTGAGCGGTGGGCCTCCTCCTGTCTCACCCTATCTCAGTGGCTTCTTAGGGGTCATGTGGTCCTGGTTTTGAGTCCCAATTAATGGCTCCATGACCTTGGCCAAGTTATTTAGCATCTGAGCCTCAGACCGAGGATAACAATATCTGCTTCTCAAGGAAGTTGAAAGTTTAAATAAAATAATGTGAAACCACAGAGTAGATATTGAAGCAGTAACTGTTGTTATGCTTAATCTGTCAGTGGGTAATTTTACTCTTTGTTCCAAAATTAAAAGCCATCTGTGCTCAGGGCTTTAAATAAAGTGGGGGAGCCCCTGACAACTTTTGGTAGAGGTTGCAGGCAAGCCCTGGGCTGACCTTGTCGGTTGGTACTGAACGTGTGCTGCGTGGGGTGACCAGAGTCTGTGAGGCAGCTCGGCAGGTGCTTAAAGAGCATTAAGCTGTCAGTGTCCCATGAAATAGATTCCCGAGAATGTATCCTAAGAATCTAATCAGAGATTTAAAGCAAGATTTCTGTCTGAGGACATTAATCTCAACATTATTAGGAATAATGATAAAGTGGAAACACTCCAATTACCTGTTGGTAGGAAATCAGATGAACTATGATACATTCATTTGGTGGAATAATCTGTAGCTATTAAAAGTCACTTATGATATACCGATAAATGGGAAAAATCCAAGTCCATGTACATAATGTTTTCTCAGCTTGTTTATTGAAAAATGAATCCTTGAAGGGAAAAAAAGACTTTCAAGGAAATACATCAAAATGTAAACAGATTGTAGTTAGATTATGGGATTGTGGGTGGTTTTTATTTTCTCAATATCGTTTGCTGTTTTCTGCTGTGGTCATTTTCTTTTTTTTAAGTAAGAAATTCAAAAATTACACGAAAGTACAAAAATAGTATAGCAAACAGCCATACAGATTGTAGTTAGATTATGGGATTGTGGGTGGTTTTTATTTTCTCAATATCGTTTGCTGTGTTTTCTGCTGTGGTCATTTTCTTTTTTTTAAGTAAGAAATTCAAAAATTACACGAAAGCACAAAAATAGTATAGCAAACAGCCATATTTCCACCTGTTTTACTTCTGTTATCAGAGAAAAGAGTGAAGAATATAAAATAAAGTGAGAGCCGGTGTAGTGAGACTGGGGACATGTTCGTCTTGCTCTCATGAGTGAGACTGGGTGAAGCAAGAAGGTGGGGCCGTTAGTTTCTGTGGGGCCCTGCAGCTAACAGGCATTTTTCTCCCTGTTGTGACTGCAGATCACTATGATCCCGACTATGAATTCCTCCAGCAAGACCTCTCTAACGTGGACCAGATACCTCAACAAGTGGCTTGTAACCTTAGCCCGTTGCCGGAGTCCTCGGGGGAGTCTGGGTCTCCATTCCTCAGCCATCCTTTCCAGCTGCCTCTTGGCATCTGTCCCCAGCCAGAGGGGCCCTTGGCCCCAGGACAGCAGACAGACACGCCACCTGCTCTTCCAGAGAAGAAGCGCAGGAGTGCGGCCTCCCAAACCACGGACAGCTCTGGCTGCAGGGTGTCCTATGAGCGGCACCCCTCACAGTATGACAACATCTCTGAAGATGACCTGCAGAACCCAGCCCCAGTCCAGTGCATCCCCTTCACAGCCTTTGCTGCTATCCTCCCTTTTCAGCAAGGAGGTTCCTCAGCCCCTGTCGAATTTGTGGGTGACTTCACTGCTCCTACATCAACGGGTGACCCAGAAAAGCCACCTCCTCTACCAGAGAAGAAAAACAAACACAGTAAGCTTTTGTTGAGCTGTCATCGGGAAGCTCATTTTGTAACCTAAAATGGTGGTGTGTTTTATTTAAGCATTAGGCTAAAATCAAGCTAGCGGCCTCATTATTTCATAAAAGATAGGACTATAGGAATGTGGACACCTCTGGGAGCCTGGTTTTGTCATTACTGATGATTGCTTTGAAAGCCTGATAAGCTGACCTCTCCTTTATGGTCTCCATAGAAGCTCAGGCCTGGTCTCCGAGGAGCTGTGTGCTTCTCCTCATTAGGAGACCTCCTGGCCTGAACATAGTGACAAAGGGAGATGAGTGTCATGGCATGCCGGACAGCACTGCAGCAACATCTGCCTAAAGCAAGGTGGACGTTGGACTTTAAACAGTCATTTTGTGAGGGTCCCTGTGTAGAGGTGTCCTGGGTGCACGCTGTTCACTGTTTGCGGACACTGGAGATGGCCCACTTACAGAACGCCTTGGGACCAGAGGTGGCCTGGCAGAAGTAGCCAAGGACACCTCTTGGACCCCAGACAGTTTAATATATGATAATATTATGGCCCAAGGTAGAGCTGAGATTTTGAATGTTTGTATTATGAATATTTTCCAACTGTTAATTTGCCATAAAATTACTAAGTAGAGTTCTGCTGTTTTCTCCCAGCTCCCCTAACTGCTCCATGTTGCAGAGAGTTGCTGTTACTCTCTGCCCCCACCCTGTCCCCACTTCACTAGCACAGTTCTGCCTCGATTTTCTTTGGCAGACCAGCTGTCACCATTTTGATGCGCGTGTGGCCGCAGAGAACTTTTTTTTTTTTTTTTTTGTCTTTTGTCTTTTTCCGTGTCCGGCAACAGATCGCAACCCTCAGTGTTGCCCCCGTACCGGACCGGGGACCGGCAACGGGATCGCAACCCTCGGCGTTGCTCCCACGCCTCGCTCAGCCAGTGAGCGGGAACCGGTCCACCAGCAGAGAACTTCTACAGACTACAAATTGAATCTGTTCCAAATTCCTGGTTGCAAGCATCTGATTGGCTCAGCCTAGATCTGGATCCCGATCTCAAAGGAGGGAAGACCTAGCTTCGTTAAAACCAGCAAAGATCATCCCAAGGGCCAATGGGGTTGTCTGGGGAGGAAGGAGGCCACCAATGGCATTCCCCAGCTCCCCACTTTGTGTTGCCCAGCTTGTACGATGGCCTCACTGGGGTGGTCCCCGAGCTGCGGGGAGAACTGGCTCTGTAGGGCTAATGATGTCATGCCCATCTGTTGTGTAAATTTGTTCATTAGAAGACAGGGCACTAATGGACAGGGATGCGAATGGCAGTGCCAGGAACATTTCCTCCTGTGCCTCTCCTTCTGCACAGGCAGGCATTGAAAGGGCTGTTGGCCTCTCCCCTCCGCTCACCGTGAGCAGCATGCCATTCTCAGCTGACCTCTTGCCTTCCCTCAGAGCCTCCAGTCTCAGAAGCGAGGCAGGAGAGCATCTGTGCAAACTGCAGCAGACACCAGAGAGCCTTGCTCTTAGAGAAAGTGTGGGCAGCAGTCCTCATGCAGGGTCCGTAGAGAAGAGAAGGAAAGGGAGGGTAGCCGTTGTTTCCTTTCAAATAGTGTCAAGTGGCTGAAATTATTTTTCTATGAATCTAGGCATCCATTCTGAGGCTTTATCCCATTCATCAATGTCTGTAGCATTGTTCCTGCAAACCTTGACAAACAGAGCTGCAGGCGTGGCATGCTCCAAGCTAAAGCTTCCCACCGCCCGTTGACCTTGGTCCTCCCAGCCACCTGGCAAGGAGGCGTACTCACTCCTGTTATATAGATGAAGATGCAAGTGCAGAGGGACTGAGCACATGCCCAGGGTGGACAGGCGAGTGGGGGCAGCTCTGGGGCTCAGAGCCAGGCCCGTGTGTGTCAGCCCATCACACCTCTCTCACACAGAGGAGGAGAAACACTGCCCTCTTTCCTTGAGACCCTGTCCACTTTTCAGTAGTGACCCCCATGCAGGGGATAGTCTGTTCTGTGCCCTGTGAAAGAACCCCAAACTCGAGGCGCTCTGAGGCTCAGTCCTAGTCCTGAGTCCACTCTTCACTCCCTGGGGGGCCCTTCAGAGGGTTCCAATCTGTGACTCTTTGGGGAGCGCCTCACAAAATTGCTTTGATGGAAAGAACAAAACAGTCCTCCTCCCTTACATGAGGGTACTTCAAAATATTCATGAAAAATAAAATTAAAAGATAATATGAGGGCCGGCCCGGTGGTGCACTGGATAAGTGCGCCGCTTGGGAAGCGCGGCGGCGCTCCCGCCCGAGGG